AAAAAAAAGTATTGACCCATGTCACTTTAGTTTTGTGTATTTCACTGTACATAAATTATATTTCAATAAAATGCATTTAAAAAAATCAGGAAGGGATTGTGTCAGGGTTATATGCTTTTACCACACTTATTCAATCCATATCAAATAATCCAAGAAGCTAGACTGGATGAAGAAAAACACAGCATCAAGATTGGATGAAGACTCATTTACAACCTGTGATATGCAGATGACGCAACCTTGCTTGTTGAAAGTGAAGATGACTTGAAGCACTTACTGATGAAGATCAAAGGCAACAGCTTTAGTATGGATTATACCTCAACATAAAGAAAACAGAAATCCTCACAACTAGACCAATAAGCAATATCAAAATAAATGGAGAAAAGACTGAAGTTGTCATAGATTTAATTTTACTTGGATCCATAATTAACACCCATGGAAGCAGTAGTCAAGAAATCAGATGTCATATTGCACTGGACAAATGTGCTGCAAAAGACCTCTTAAAATTACTGAAGGGCAAAGATGTCATTTTGAAGACTAAGGCATGCCTAGCCCAAGCCATGGTATTTTCAATTTTATCATATGCATGTGAAAGCTGGACAATGAATAAGGAAGACCAAAGAAGAACTGATGCCTTTGAATTGGGACACTGGCAAAGAATATTGAAATATACCTGAAGAACAAACCTATCCTGGAAGAAGTGAAGCCAGAATGCTCCTTAGAAGCGAGAAGGGCCAGACTTCATCTCACCTGACTGACCCAGAATCTTGAATAAAAGCCCTGAACACAAATGCTCAAGGGAGCGTCCCTGGTTGACCATACACCATGTGTACTGTTATGTGACATTACTTGGAGAACTAAGTGCTGTCCATACAACTCTACCGGCATGTAAGGTAAGAATTCTGTTACCAAACTATCAATGTCCCCCATTAGTCAGTAGAGAAATGGAAATTAAAACCACAATGAAATATAACTACACATCCACTAGAATAGCTAAAACCAAAGGTGGACAATACCAAGTATGAGTGAGGATGAAAGGAACTGAAACCAGCATGCATTGCTAGTGGGAATGTTAAAATGATATAGCCAGCTTTGGAATATAGTCTGGCAGTTTCTTGAAAAGTTAAACATATACTTATCGTACGATCCAGCCATTCCACTCCTGGGAATCTACACAAAGACAGGTGAAATGGAAACATACCAGACAGACACATGACTGTTCATAGCAGCATTATAAGAAAAAAGGAATGCCACAACTCAAGACTGAGGTTACCTTTCAGCAAAAGGCAGAAGTTACAGATAGTTTCAGTGATTTTAGTGTTGTTCTTATGTTGGGTTATAGGCCCGCAGAGTTCATAACTTACATGTTGTTGTTGTTGCTGTTGTGTTGTTGTTAAGTGCCATCGAGTTGCACCCAACTCATAGCGACCCCTCCTTGGGTTTCCGAGGCAGTATCACTATGGAAGTAGATTGCCCCATCTTCCTTCCGAGGAGTGGCTGGTGGGTTTGAACCGCCAGCCTTCTGGTTAGCAGTCAAGTGCCTTAGCCACTATGCTACCAGAGCTCCCATAACTTACATATACAGGATATATGAATCTTGTATACATAAAACATATTAAAATTTTGTTTTGTAATAAAGTATATATTGAAATGCTCCCTGAACTAAGCTGGGGGGGATTGAAGTGACTATTTTTGGCTAAAATAGACAGTAGAAAAGTAGAGAACTGGCCCCTTATAAGCAGTCTGTGTATGTAGGACTCTAAGTTAGCCAAGTAGATCATTAGCAAACACCTGAAAGGCTGTTAACTACTGCTTGGATTCAAAATTAATGCAAATTACATGAAACAGTACAGGAAATGATTCTTCAACTTCAAAGAAGAAAGCAGCTATTGGTTAACGTTCCTTAAGTTCAATCTTTTGCTATTCAAATAAGCATACAATATCTCAGCAGAAGTCCTTGAGGTGTATAAAAGGTGAATCATTCAGCTGCTAACCAAACGGTTGGCAATTCACACCTACCCAGAGGCACCTCAGAAGAAAAGCCTGATAATCTGCTTCCAAAAGGTCATAGCCATGAAAACGCTATGGAGCGCCTTGTACTTGGCAACACATGGGGTTGCCATGAGTTGGGACTGATTCTATGTAACTGGTAATATTTGCGCAAAGGTCTAAGCATTGTAATTCTAGCACCATCTGGTGGCAGTATACTAAAATAGCAGTTTTGGGTTTTTTTTCTTTAACACTAATTTGGTTTTTCTTTTCATTCACACTCATTCAATCATTTGCCATCTAATAAGCCACTTTATATCTTTAACTATTTCTTGGAAGGCAGGAAATATGGTATAGTATCTCTAAATGTATGTGTGTGTATGTGTGTCTGTGTGTGTATGGAATTTTACCCTGAAAGAAAAAATCTAGTTAAATTATGACTGTCAGAATGTATGAACAGATTATGCTTCTGTTTATAAATGTGCTTAAAATATCTGTGCTTCCAGAACCTTCTGACAAGAAGTTCCTCAGAAGTGTCCTGGGAAACACACTATCAAGTCATCACTTAGGGACTACTGAACACACCAATACAGTTTTAAACCATCCTCAAATTCCTTGACATTTCTTCCTTCAAAAGGTAGAACCTAATTTCTTCCCCTGAATGTGAGCTGGACTTAGTGATTCACTTCAAATGAAAAATGAATGTAACAGAAATGATAGTGTGCAACTTCAAAGCTTCCTCAGTTCCATCCAGCCTTGTTTTGGATCACTTGCCCTGGGGTAAGTCAGCCATCATGTCATAAGGAGATTTAAGCAGTCTGTGGAAAGCTCATGTCCAAAACGGAGGCCTCCTACCAACACTAGCACCAACTCACCTGTCATGTGAACAAGCCCCCTTAGAACAAATCCTCCAGCCCCATCCAAGTCTTCAGATAACTGCGGCCCTGATATCATCATCCAACATTGCCTTGCTTAAGCCCACCCTAATTCCTGACCCACAGAAAATGAGAAATAATAGACGTTCACCATTGTGTTTTATCATTCAATTATGAAGTCATTTGTTATGCAACAATATATAACTAATACAACAACCTATCACTTCCCAGAACTAATTTTTATCTATAACCAAAACTCAAATCAAACCCACTTGCCATTGAGTCATTTCTTATCCATAACAGGAAGTAAAAATAGATCATTTTAATGTAATACTATAATTTGTCTACATATTGGTAAAATTTCAAAGCTGCCTTCCTAATACATACTAAGTAATGATCCTTTTCTAATTCCCTCAAAATTATTTCATTATATTCATTAATTTCTAAGTTAACTTAAAGAAAAACAGTGCTCTAAACAAACTTCAGTCAACCAGTAAGGATTTTTTTGAATGCCTCCTTTTCGTAGAGCTGCTATACAAGGTTCTGAAGGGAGATGAAAGGGAGGAACTTAAAGATTAATTCAGGTTAATGCACATGAAACACTTAATAGTTTTTAATGAAACTTTTTTCCTTGGTTCTGAAGATTATAGGTCAGTGGAAGAAGGTGTGGAAAGTGTTTCCTTTACCTCTGTGAGGGACCCACAGGCCACACCACCATGCAGGGCTTCATCCAAAGCAGAGAGTGTAGTAGACAAGAATGGTGGCAAGAGATCACTAGACCTTTGTGTCTTCATCCCGTAAGCCTGAATGAGAAAAAGGTTATGTTCAACCTCCCTTCTATTCAAAAACATAAAGCAACTCTAAATGTCTAAACTTTAGCAGCTATAACCTCAGCCCATCTATTTTTCTTCTATTATCTATTTGTTCATCATATATTTACTATGTGCCAGGGACTGTGCTAGATTATGGCAATATATAACAGATAAACCCATTCTTACAGTTCTTATAGTCAACCAAGGACTGGGAAATTAGGACAAAAACCTGGGCAATTACAGCACAGTTAATAAGTGACACAGTGGTAGGGAAAGTGGAAACCTAAAGACTGTACACCTGGTGTGGATTGTGTGATCCAGTAAGGCCTCATGGAAGAGCCGGGTATCTGAGCTAAAATCTGAAATAGCTGTTACACAGGCAAGGGAAACGTGAATGGTTTGGCCAAAGAGGGCAGGATGCACAAAGACAATCAAGAAGCAAGAACAAGATGAAATAGAAACTGATGGAAACTACAAAACATTTTAAAAGCCCATTTAGAATCATTGCAAGATGGAGTGTGGGCAGGGTGTAGCAAGTGATGAGGCTAGACAAGTAAGCAGGGACCCAATCACGGAGAGCCTTGTTGAGTTTAAAGTTTATGCTGAGAGCAACAAGGAATGGTAAGATCAAATTATCATTTCAAAAAGATACTCAGAGTAGTCTGTGAAGAATAGTTTGACAGTGGGTGTGGTAGTCCAAAAAATGTACCTCTCATAGGAAGAAAAAAGATGCTCACATCAAATCCCTGGAACCTGTAAATGTTATCTTATTTGAAAAAAAAAAAAAAAAAAGGTGTTTGGCAGATGTGACTAATTAAGGATCTTGAGGTGAGATCATTGTGGATTATCTAAATGGTTCCTAAATATCAACACAAATATCCCTATTCCAAAAGAAAAAAAAAAAAGGTGGAGGAAGATTAGATACATAGAAAAGAATGCCACATGAAGACAGTGCAGAGAGAAGTGGCCACAAGCTAAAGAATGACTAGCAGCCACTAAAAGTTGGAAAAGGCAAGGAATGGATTCTCACCTATTGACACCTTGATTTCAGATCACTGGCCCCCAACATGTAAGAGAATAAATTTCTGTTTTTTTAAGCCACACAATTTGTGGTAATTGTAAGAGCAGTCCCAGGGTACCAGTACATCAAATTATTATTTCAAAGAGATGCTCAGGTTGATTTGTGAAGATTGGCTTGAAAGCTAATAGTGGAAGCAACAAGATCCATTAGGGGGATATTGTAATCAATTAGAAGAAAAGTAATGGTGGCCCAATGTCAGGTAATTGTAACGGAGAGACAAGCTTCCTGGTAGTAGTATATCTGAAGTTTGTCTAATATAAAAAATTCTGAAATTCTCCTTTCTTATCCTTGGTGTTGTTGTTACCCAAGGTTCCATCAAGTTGGCTCTAATTCATAGCCACCTCATGTACAACAGAATGAAACACTGCCCAGTCCTGTGCCAGCCTCTCAATACTTGCAATACCTGAACCCATCATTGCAGCCACTGTGTCAATCCATCTTGTTGAGGGGTTCCCCTTTTGCATTCACCTTCCACTTTACCAAGCATGATATCCTTCTCCAGAAAATAGTCCTTTCTGACAATATAACCAGAGCATGTCAAACAAAGTCTGGCCATTCTTGCTTCCAAGGAGCATTCTGTTGCACTTCTTCCAGGACAGATTCGATAGCTCTTGTGGCAGTCCATGATACTTTCAATATTCTTCATCAAAACCACAACTCAAAAGCACAACTCTTCTTCGATCTTCCTCATTCACTGTCCAGCTCTCACATGCATATGAAGCAACTGAAAATACCATGGTTTAGGTTAGGTGCACCTTAGTCTTCAAGGAGACATCTTTGCTCTCCAGCATTTTAAAGAGGTCTTTTGCAGCAGATTTGCCCAGTGCAATACATCATTTGATGTCTTGACTGCTGCTTCCACTGAGGTTGATTGTGGAACCAAGTAATATGAAATCATTGACAACTTCAATCTTTTCTCTGTTTATTGTAATACTGCTTATAGGCACTGTTGTGAGGATTTTCATTTTCTTTATGTTAAGATATGATCCATACTGCAGACTGTAATCTTTAATCTTCATTAGTAAGTGCTTCAAGTCATCCTCATTTTCAGTAAGCAAAGTTGTGTCATCTGCATAGAACAGGCTGTTAATGACTCTTCCACCAATCCTGATGTCATGCTCTTCATTAGTTCAGCTTCTCGGATTATTTGCTCAGCATACAGACTGACTAAGTATGGTGAAAGGATATAACCCTGACACACTCCCTTCCTAATTGTAAACTATGCAGTATCCCCTTGTTCTGTTTGAACAACAGCCTCCTGGTCTATGTACAGGTTCCTCATGAGCATAATGAAGTGTTCTGGAATTCCCATTCTTCTCAATGTTATTCATAACTTGTTATGATCCACATAATCAAATGCTTCTGCATAGTCAATAAAACACATGTAAACATCTTTTTGGTACTCTTTACTTTGAGCCAAGATCCATCTGACATCAGTAATAATATCCCTCATTCCATGTCCTCTCCTGAATCCAGCTTGCTTCTGGAAATTCTCTGTCAATATACTGCTACAACCATTTTTTTAATTATCTCCAGCAAGATTTTATTTGTGTGTGATATTAATTATATTGTTCGATAATTTCCACATTCTGTGGGATCACCTTTCTTTGGAATGGGTACAAATATGGATCTCTTCCAGTCAGTTGGCCAGGGAGCTGTCTTCCAAATTTCATGGCACAGACGAGTGAGCGCCTCCAGTGTGGCATCTGTTTGTTGAAATATCTCAATGGGTACTCTGTCAATTCCCATAGTCTTGTTTTTTTGCCAATTCCTTCAGTGCAGCTTCAACTTCTTCCTTCAAGATCATTGGTTCTTGATCATATGCCACCTTCTGAAATGGATGAAGATCAACCGATTCTTTTTGGTACAGTGACTCTGTGTATTCCTTCCATCTTCTTTTGATGTTTCCTGCATCATTCAATATTTTGCCCATAGACTCTTTCAATATCCTAGGTGCTCCTCCGTAATTAATTATATAAAGAATTTGAGTTATTTTATTTGTTGATTTTGATCATTCTTATGTATTTATAACTATAAAACTTAATTGTCTACAGAGAAAACTATTTTTAGAATTACTTTCATTAATCTTTTCTGGGGAGCTCTGGTAGCATAGTGGCTAAGACACTTGCCTGCTAACCAGACGGCTGGCGGTTCAAAGCCACCAGCCACTCCTCGGAAGGAAGGTTGGGCAATCCTACTTCCGTAGTGATACTGCCTCAGAAACCCAAGGAGGGGTCGCTATGAGTCGTGTTTGACTTGACAGCACATAAAAACAACAATCTTTTCTGGATATTAAATTTTTACTTTATTTTTAAAATGTTTGTTTTCTAATGTTTCCTTTTTCTTTTAAGAGTTTTTGAAATACCCTCCCTTTTGTAATGATCTTTTCTACATTTCAGTTTAGTTGTGCCTTCTCCTGGGCACTGCAAAAGAGTTACTACCCTAGGATATAGAGCAAACAATGTCAGACCCTTTCACATACTGTCATAACTCAGGACTGTGAACAGAAAGAAAAAGACAAGGATGGGAAGGGAAAGAACAGGCATTGCATATCTATGATGTGCTATATTAAGTTTACTTACATTATTTCATTTAATCCTCACAACCACCCTGCATACAATTATCTCAATTTTCACAAAGGAAAAAACCAAGACTAGGGGAGGTTAAATGATTTGCCAAAGATGACTCTAAGAGAGGAGGGGAGATAAGAATTGTTGCTGGGCTTTTATTCCCCATTCCCACATACATTAAAGAAGTTTAAAGAAAACAGGAGTCAGATGTAATGCCATAACCCTAGGATAACAACTATCAACAATATAGGGTAAATGTACTCATATACATAGATTCCATTTTTATAAAATTAACACTGTATTCTAAATGTAATTTTAAAGCCTGCTTTTTTTATTATTAAACATGTATATCCTGAACATTTCTATTATTAAAAATTCTTCAAAGAATATTTTAATGCCTTTATAATGTTTCATCACATAAATATAATAAAATGTACCTAAAAAAGACACATAAACTCACTATCAGTGAGTCATTTCTGACTCATAGCAACCCCCGTTTGGTTTCCAAGGCTATAAATCTTTACTGAAGTAGATCTCATCTTTCTTCCGCAGAGCAGCTGGTAGATTTGAACCACTGACCTTTCAGTTAGTAGTCAAGTGTCTTATCCACTGCACCACCAGAGCTCCAAAATGTACCTACTTCCTTACTATTGATTATTTAGGTTCTTTGATTTTTGATACAAGAAATATTTCAGTGAGAACCTTACATAGACTTTTTTGTCTATTTTATTGAGCAATGTCTAAGGAAAAAAATATCCTATATGTATAACTATGTAAACCCAAACCAAACCCACTGCCAAGAGTTGATCAAAGAGACCCACCAGAGGCAGTAAATCTTTATGGAAGCTGATTGCCCCATCTTCCTTCCACGAAGTGGAGACTCACTAGCCTTCTGGTTAGCACTCAAATGCCTCAGGCACTACACCACCACAGCTCCTTGTATAACTACCTAAGGGTATAAATATTTTAAATTCAAATTGCTTACAAGAAGGCTGTACCAATTTATATGCCTATTAGCAGAAACATTATCTCGTTCATCAAAATGTCTCCAATATGGAGAAAGATCCCTGGATGGTGGTGACGGTCTGCACTTGCCTAGTAACTCAAAGTAACTCAAAGGCTGCCTAGTTGGGCCCATCCAGAGGCACTGCAGAAGATCCAGGACTGGCCAGCAGCTCTGGCAGAGATCATAGCCAACTGACCTCCAGAGCCCACAGAGGCCCTCCAGACGAATACATAAACGAACAAATGCCTCCAATGCGTGAGAAAGTACCTGATGCATGGTTGGTACTCAAAAAGTATGACTTGAGGGAACAAATGACTGAAAAAAATGAGTAAATAAATGAACAACAACAAAAAAAATACTTTCTGGAAGGACTAAACTAAGACAACGTTTAAGGCAAGCCTCAAATCTAAAGAACACTGTGAAAGTGAATATAAACCAAAGGAGAAAAGTGGATTTTACAGTTGGTATAAGGAATAGTAATGAGACTTCAACTGAAAGTAGTGATGAAAACGGAGACTAAAGCTGAGTTTCCTGCCTACTCTCTTATTGAATTACCTAACTGGAAATATGCCATAAATATTGACCAACTAGAATGACACATCAAAGTAAAAGGATTTCCTGGTGCTTTACAACCTTCAAAATAATAACAAGTTAATTTGATTCTAGCCATGTATTATTTTAGCTGTCTAACTTCTCCCCTGAAACGAAATGAACTGTTCAAAGCAATGCAACAAATTCAATGATAAAGCTACATCTAGTGCCAATTTCTGGTTCTGATTCTAATTCTTCTGACTACTCTGCCTTTAAGTGCTTTTTCTTAGATCACAAGCTAAATCTGAACAAAAGAAAGTACTTTAGCTGTTGATTTTTTATAAAATTTCTAATAAAACCAACATTCCTCCCTTCCTTCTTTACAGAATTGGATGCTACTTTACTGCTCGGGTGGTTACCAAATTTCAATATAGGATAATAAGGGGAATAATTTACAAGCCTCATAAAAAAAACCTATCTGTAAAGCATTGTACTTATTTTTAGGCAGCTCTCATTCTGGGAAAACAAAATCTTTCCTATGCCCAAAACCTACATTTTGAAAAGCTAGTTATAAGACAGTAAGCACTTGTGGTAGTTAAGGTTGTACGTCAACTTGGCTGGGCCTGGTTGAGTGGCTAGGCAGGTGGATGTAGTATTCCCCATGATGAGACTGGTAATTAACTCCATGGTGGAATCTACTGTGAGCAGCTGAGTAGCTGCTTTAGGGATGTAATCTGCTTCCTGTAATAAGAAGGAGCCTTGGGGACAGTCTCGAGCTGATGGCACACTTGAACCCTGTATGTAGTCATGTCATTGTTCAGAAGCCTGCCATGCTCTGCTGACCTTCGGACTTTCAATAGACTTGAATTAATGGCCCGCCGTGTGGTTTGATAACATTGGGACTGTGCCTTTTTACTTGTCAACCTTGGGCTTGTCAGTCTCAGCAGCCAGCAGCTGTCTGAGTGAAGAAAACCCTCTAGCTCCAGTGGGCCGGGAGCAGGAGGCAGAACTGAAGCCGAAGGTTGAAGGACTTTTACCCAGCTTCTAGAGCCTGGCACTTTGAACTTGGACTTAAAGCCTCCAAGCTGTAACAGAATAAACTTCTGTTATTCAGCCATTCCATTTGTGGTATATTTTCTGTTAGAGCAGCACAGAGGTAACCAAAACAGTACCAAAAAAAAAAAAAGCACAATTTGATGAGGGCTTATTATAAAAAACTTCAACTTTTCTTAAGTGTGAGGATAAGTTTTAAAGCATCGCTTATTTAATCATTAAGCAAATATAAGAAAATTATGTATAGTTTATGATGTGGATTAAGTGATGATGCTAAAGTTAATATTACAGAGATGGGGGCATTCTAAAATTAGGAGGATATTATCATTAAAGCATGAGGTCCACAAATCCTACCCAAATAAACAAGAGAGAAAGATGATCTTTTGAAATATCACTCTCAGTAGCAACTAGGGTCTTAAAGGCTAGCAAATGGCCATCTAAGATGCAACTACTGTTCTCTCTGTGTCCAGAGCAAAGAAGAGTGAAGAAAATCAAAGACACAGGAAAAATTAGTCCAAAGGACTAATGGACCATGAGAACTTCAGCACAAACGACCTTGTGACCAGAAGAACTAGATGGTGCCTGGCTACCGATGCCAACTACTTGGAAAGGGATGAAGATTGGGGATCCTGAATAGAATGGGAGAAAAAATGCGGAACAAATTTAAAATCATACAAAAGACCAAGATTACTATTCACATAGAGACTGGTGAAACCCCAAGAATATGGTGCCTAGTCATCCTTCAGGCCTAGAATTGAATTGACTCCTGTGGCTTAACTCTCAGCCAAACAACAGACAGGCCTACGAGCTAAACAATTACACCAAGCAGGTGCACTGCTTAGAACAACCAACCATGGAGATCAGAAGGGCAGCATTTGCACAAGGAGAAAGATAGGGAAGCAGAAATGTATAGGCAAGGAAAGGGTAACCACAGGGAGGAAGTGGGAAGAAAGCTGTTATATTGTGGGGATTATAATCAGTGTCCCAAAATAAAATGTGAATGAACTGTTAAATGTAAAACAAATCTGCTTTGTAAAATTTCACCCAAATCACAATAAAAAGTTATTTAAGAAGAAAGAGAAAAGAAACATCACTCTCAGTTAGAGGAGAAAAAAGGTTTTTAAACCCCTTAATTGTCTCCCATGAGCTTATTAACTATACAAATTTTTCACAAATATTCTAATTAGAAGACTAATTCTATGCTGCGAAAGTTGATATTTTTGAGGCGATTATCTCTATTTCTAATTTTTTCTCTCCCAAATTACATTTTAAATGTGATAAAGAATCTTTTATTTGATGAGAAAAAAATACCGTTTGCATCTGTGGGGCACAGGCCCTGCTCACCACACGCAAGAGTTCATGGACCCCTGGATAACTGAGACCAGCCACCTTCATAAGCTCCAGTGGGGAGAGACGTAAAAAGTCCTACAGAAAAACAAAGAGAATATTTTAACATATATGTGTTACAAAGATATGGAAATTTTCAATTATACGATCCATGTGTAGATAAAAGTGTAATTAATTGCAGATGAAAGAGCTCTGTCTTCCTTAAAGTATTTTACCCCTAAACATGTCTTAACTGAAAGATACAATGACATAGTATTATTTTCTAATCATCCAAATTAGTTAGCAAATTCCAGAGGAGCCACAGAACTTAAGCTAATCAAATGTTCACTGTTTGAAAACTGGAAAATTTCCTGCAAATGTAAAAGCTAAGTGGCAAACTCCTACTCATTACACTTCCTAGAACTCTATTAGTCAATATGAGTTTAGGACACAAGTAACATCACACAGCAGCAGCAGCATCCAACTCCAGTTTCTATGAGCAAGACAACTGTGCTGGAAGGAGACGAGGCACAGATACATGCCCAGAAAGTGTCAGGTTGAAATGAGTTGGTTTTTTTTATAGCTAGGAGATCACTTAGAGAAAATATTTGATAACTGAGAGAAGACAAAGCTGACTATGGATGTCCTGATACATGCTACAACATAGATGAACCTTGAAAACACTCTATTGAGTGCAGTGAGTCAAGCGCAAAAGGACAAAGTTTGCATGATCCCACTTATACATTTAAAATTGGCCAATGTAAAGAGACCAAAGTTACCAGGGGAAAGAGAGAATCATTACCCAGGAGATCACTGAGTTTCTGTGAAGGGTGATGGAAAATTTTGAAAATGGATAGCGGGGTGGTTGCACAACATGATGGAAGGAATTAATGTCACCAAATTGTACATGTAAAAAATGTTGAAATGGCAATGTTTTGTTATATAAATTTTTACCACAATTTAAAAAAAAAAATCTTGACTATGGTTAAAGGTCATTTTTTTTTTTATTGTGATTTGGGTGAAGATTTACAGAGCAAATTCACTTTCCATACAGCAGTTCACATATACTTTGTCTCGTGTCATTGACCACAGTTTACCACAATGCAACAGCTCCCCTCCCACTTCCTCCCCATAGTTACCTCTTCCCAGTGTCCATCCCTCCATACACTCCTGCCCCCTGAGCTGTCTCCCTGTGCATAAGCAGCCCTTCTTTCTCCCATGATTGTTCTCTCCAAGGAGTGTATCTACTTGAGGTAAATGTTTAACTCATATGCCTGTATTTTGTTTGGCTGGAAACCACAGGTGTGGGTTCAATTCCAGACCTGAAGGGCAGCTAGGGGCCATAGTCTCAGTGGTTCCACCAGGCTCTATCAGACCAGAAAACCTGGTTCCCAAAAGGTCATATTTTTAAGAACATCTGAAAGTAGGAACATAAGGATTATTAAGTATATAACAAAAGAATCAAGGATACCTTTAACACAGAAAGCAATTTAAAAAAGTATAGCATGTTTTGAAAATCTTATTAAGGATGATATACTAAATTAAACCTTAAATCTTATTTAACCTTCTAAGAGGAATTTGCTTCACTACTATGCTTAAAAATATAACATCTACTTTATACATTTATCTGGCTTCATCAGTAGGAAAAGGATCTTAACTCTTAATTTCTCTTGCTTTGAAAAGAAAGCTTTTCCATGTTAACCATACATTTTCTTAGAAATGGATAAAACTTCTCTGGAATCCTATATAAATGGCACAGGTCTACTTCACCTTATATCAACATTCTCCCCAAAAAATGCACAAATAAAATAAAAATAAAAATAAATCCATTGTTGTGCAGTTGATTCCAACTTCTAGTAACACTGCAGGACATAGTAGAACCACTCATAAGGTTTCCAAGACTGTAAATCTTTATGGAAACAGACTGCCACATCTTTCTCCATAGAGTGGATGGTGAGTTCAAACCACCGACCTTTCATTTAGCAGCCAAGTGCCTAACCACTGTGCCCCTGGGGTACCTTGCTCTCTTTACATTGGCCAATTCTAAATATTTTATTTAAGAAGGATCATACAGTATCTGTCCTTTTGTTACTAACTTATTTCACTCGGCACAGTATTTCAAAGGTTCACCCATGAACATTCTCCCGGCCAAAATGCAAACATAGAGTTCAGGTAAATGAAATCGCATTTGAAAATGCTACCTAAGTGGCTTGGTATTTAAAATTCACCTATAAAGAAGCACTAGTATTTATCTCTTTTCTATAAACTTACATTTTCATATTTCAGATTGTTTCAAATTTATTAGATCTCTATGAGTTGGAATCAACTAGACAGCAGTGGGATAGGTTGAGATTTTTAAGGTATACTTAAAATTAATTTGTACATAAAACTCATTGAAAAAAAAATTAAATACATTTTACCTTACAGGTGACAATCTGGTGTCTGCTCAGACGGTCACAAAGATCTTGTGACAAACCCACTCGTCTCAGTTTCTTGCTAGCCATACCTCCAGATCCAGCAAACAAAAATAACCTTCAAAGAAAACATCAGAAAATAACCTAAGCAGTAGTAGGTGATTTATGCACAACTAAGACGAGCTCTGGTAGCGTAGTGCCTAAGGTACTTGACTGCTAACCAGAAGGCTGGCGGTTCAAACCCACCAGCCACTCCTCGGAAGGAAGGTTGGGCACTCTACTTCCGTAGTGATACCGCCTCGGAAACCCAAGGAGGGGTTGCTATGAGTTGGGGCTGACTCGATAGCAAACAACAACAACAACAACAACAAGAGCACAGGGAGGGGAGGTCACAGGGAAGGGAGGGGAGTGGCTTAGGGTTGGGGAAGGTAATCAGGGACTGAAACCAAATGTACACAAACTGTTTAATGTAAAACAGATTCTGCTCTGTAAATTTGTACCCAAAACAAAATAAAAAAAGATAATTCAAAATAAAAAATTCTTCAAGATTCTCCATATGCTGTGTATGAGCACATGAGTTGGAATCGACTCAATGGCAGTGGGGTGTGTTTCTCCATATGCAAAATGAAATGTACGGTATTTAAAATATTACTGATAAAATCAAGGTAGGCTATTGTAGTGGGTTGAGTTCTAGCCCAAAACAAAACAAATCAGTTGCTGTCAATTCCGACTCACAGTGACCCTATAGGACAGAGAACAGCCCCATAGGGTTTACAAGGCTGTCAGTCTCTAAGGAAGCAGACTGCCACATCTTTCTCCCACAGAGTGGCTGGTGGACTCAAACCTTTCAGTTAGCAGCCAAGTGTTTAACCACTGCACCACCAGGGCTCCTTCCTAACCCCCAGACCTATGACTTAATTTGGAAAAAGAGTATTTGCACCTATTATTAATTTAAGGATCCTGAGATGAGATCCCCTGGGATTATCCAGGAGGGCCCTAAATCCAATGACATTTGTTCTTATAAGAGACAGAAGACAGGGACACAGAGAAGGCCATGTGAAAATGAAGACAGAGACTGGACTAAGTAGCCATGAGGCAAGGAACACTGACAGCCACAGAAGTGAAACAAGCAAGAAACAGAATCTCCTATAGAGCTGCTAGATGGTGGGAAAATACATTTCTGTTGTTTTAAACTAAGCAGTTTATGGCAGTTTCTTACAGCAGCACTAAAAAACATAGCTACTGTTGCTGTCATTGTTGTTGTTGTTGTTGTTATGTGCCGTCGAGTCGGCCCCGACCCCTCCTTGGGTTTCCGAGGCAGTATCACTACGGAAGTAGGATTGCCCAACCTTCCTTCCAAGGAGTGGCTGGTGGGTTTGAACCGCCAGCCGTCTGGTTAGCAGGCAAGTGTCTTAGCCACTATGCTACCAAAGCTCCCTTTGTTGTCATTACCCGCCATCAAATCAGCTCAATGCATGACAATCCCATGCACAACGGATCACAGCATTTTTATACATATGGTTCTGGTGTTTAATCTTTTAAAAATAATTTGTTTTATTTTATTGTTGAGAATATACACACTGAACACATATACCAATTCAAGTTTCTACATGTACAATTCAGTGACATTTATTACTCCAAAACTGTCCTGCAAAAGTCAGGTCAGTATCACAATCCTTCCAGAGGTGATCTTGTTATTGTTAGGCGCTGTCGAGTCAGCTCCAACACATAGCAACCCTATGTACAACAGAATGAAACATGACCCAGTCATGTGCCATCCTCACAATCTTCACTATGCTTGAACCTATCATTGCAGTCCCCGTGTCAATCCATCTTATTTGGGTCTTCCCCTCTTTCACTGACCCTCTACCAAGCATGATATCCTTCTCCAGGGACTGGTCCCTTCTGATAACATGACCAAAGTACATGAGACTAAGTCTGGCCATTCTGCTTCTAAGGAGCATTGTGGCTGTACTTCCAAACCAGATTTTTTCCTTCTTCTGCCAGTCCACGGTAACTTCAGTATTCTTTGCCAACACCACAATTCAAATGCATTAATTCTTCTTTGGTCTTCCTTTTTCATTGCCCACCTTTCATATGCATATGAGGCTACCAAAAATACCATGGCTTGGGTAAGGCACACGTTACTTTTCAAAGTGACATCTTTGCTCTTTAACACTTCAGTCTTTTGCAGATTGGTCAAGAGTGCTATACATCATTTGATTTCTTGAATGCTGGTTCCATGGATGGTGATTTTTGATCCAAGTAAAATGAAATCCTTGACATCAATTTTTTCTCCATTTAAAGTGATGTTGCTTGAGGAGGCGGGGCAAGATGGCGGACTAGGCAGAAGGATTGCACAGACCCTCTTCAACAAAGAAAAGGGAAACCAATTAACACAGACACAGAAGATAATCTT